ATAAATGCTTAAGGCTAACCCCTTAGCCATAAAACACCAACTAAACATCCTATACACTAAACCCTTAGCCTAATCCTCGAAAAAAAGTAAAATATGAACTCTAAACCCCAATACCTAGCTAGACCCTTGAACGGAAACTAAACGTTAAACCCTAAACCACCACAAATGCTAAACCCTAAGCCCTAAATGCCAATCCGCCCAAGATCGAAAGTCCCCATTCGTTTGCGTTAGGTTGTGTACGCGGATCAGTGCCTTACTCATCACAGATGTCTGACACATTGATATTTCTTAGTATTCAGTCCTTTGTCTGTTCTCTACCGCTGAGCTAACGTCTCACTGTTGATAGCCATCACTTAGCAGCAGCACAACCAGCTGCTGCTGCACCAAGCATCCTTAGCAGCAGCAGCAGCAGCACTAGCACGAAGAAGGCACCTTGAGACATTTTCCTTCTCTTGCCTCAGGCAAATACTACAAATGCCCCGTTGGCCACGGCTACTGGATCCTGGGAGAGTAATCATACTACGCATCGGCAGCAGTAGCAGCAACTGCTGCTGCTTTCAGTGTGCAGCAGAAGTAGCAGCAACAGCTGCTGCTGCAGCTGCTCTGTATTGCAGGAGGGAGTAAGCGTTCGTCTGTTCTGCGAGTCTCTGGCAGTTATCCGGGGGCCGCGGCCACTGAAGGGCCTAATGCAATTCTTTGATGTTGTCAACGTTCTTTTGGCTCCGTGTGTCATTGTCTTTGGTTTGTTTCTTACTTCGAAACCAACATAAAGCTTTGACTCGAGTATATTGACTGGTCGGCCGAACAGGTTCACGGGGCCTCGGCTGGTGGGAGCACCCAGCAAGGCAGCCCTTGGGCAGAGGCCCCTCATCGCCTGCAGCAGAAGACTCTCCAGACACGACCTCTTACGAATGGCTTGCTAGGAAACCTGCTAGCGAGCTGATTATATACTCAGGAGGCGAGATGGGCCTGACTTGTCTAGTTTGACTCGTCCGCTAGTTAGTTGCCTGGCCTTGCCCACCGTTGCTTGTTACCTAGATAGCTAGCTGTAGCTAGCTAGTTAACTACTCAGCTAACAACAGAAGGCAAGGTAGCTACCCCTCCTTATTCTCGAGTCACTCCACTGAGACGAATATGCTGAGGGGAGTCCTTGAACTGCCCTCTTCCGTGTACATCAAAACCGTCCATAGGGATTCACTGCCGTTGCCTCTGAAGCAGCAGAAGGTCACAAAAGTTGCAACTGCAAACTGCGGATAAAGATGTTGCGAACCTGAGCTTATATCTAACTGGATTTCATAACGGATTCGCCATAAGCCGCAGGCTGTGATAGCATTCACGCTTGTGGATAGGCTCAACAAATATGCTGACTTCACCCCTGTTC